GGAAGAGAACAAACAAATGATGAAAAATTAAAAAAAAATTGAGATGTTTACCTTCTTCCTTTGATGCTAAGATTACTGCTATAACCGAGTCCAAGTACTTGAATGTTTATTCTATAGATAACCTATTTGGATCACTCATTGCTTATGAGCAAGGAGTGAACAAAAGACAACCTGATGTAAGGGAGAAAAAGAAGGAGAAACTATATCCTTAAAGGCTAATGACACGGATATTAATTCTTCATGTTCTGAAAGTGACAATGTTGCCTTAATTAAAAGGAAATTCAAAAGCTTTTTAAGAAAGAAATAAAAGCACCATAAAAAATGTAGCAAAGGTAAGAATAACAGGAATTCTAAAGGTTCTTCTAATGTAATTTACTTTGAATGAAGGAAGCCGATACATGTAATAGCTGATTGTCCTCTACTTAAAGCTCACCCAAGCAAGGAGAAGGGTGAAGAAAAGCTATGTTTAGGAAGGACAAAAAATAGATCTAAAAGGCTTTCAAGGTGGATTCTACATCTGACGGCTCTAAAATTGAAGCTGAATAGGAGATAACCAACTTGTGTTTAATGTGGATAATCATCTTGGTCAATTTGATCAAGAAGAGGTATATGAATTAATATACGATCAACTATTTGATGTTTATGAGAAAATTCATTCATCTTATAGAAAGCTTAAAAAATTACATGCTACCCTGAAACTAGAATATCTTAACTTACAAAAAGAACATGAAGTTTTAATTAAAGATCATTCTACACTTAATAGCAATCACATGACATTATTAGATGAATTTGATTCTTTGAACAAAAAGTATTCCGAATTGACTAATAAGCATTATTCCCTAATAAATTTACAAGTTAAACTAGAAACTGCATATAAGGATTTAGATTCTCTTGCAACTGATCTCAAAGAAAATAAAAAAAAAAAACTACCCACAATGCTTGAGTTTCACAATCCATCAAATCTACATGCATCATTTAAACCTAGGAAGAGGTGGAACTCTCGTCTTTCTCTCTCTCGACTTTGATTATAATTCGGTAACCGTGTACACATACACTAGGGGAGATTGTAATAACTTAAATTTTAAAACCAATCGTGTTGTATGATTTACAATTGTACTAAATGATTTGTCATATTTTTTCCTCCAAAATGAAGTTAATCAAATCATGTCTTTTATTTTTGTAATGTTTGTACTATACGATGTTAATTCGTACAGAAGACTAATATAGTACGATATTGGGTGCATACCAGTTTATCCCAAACAAACTTATTTATTTTTATACTATTGGTACTATACAATGTTAATTTTATAGACGACTGACATAGTATGAAATGGGGTCATCCACGTTCGTACCAAATCAAGCATGAATTATGTTAACTGTTTGTACTATACATTATCAGTTTGTATAGAATACTAACAGAGTACGAAATAAGGTTAGTACAGGATCATACCAAATGAATATATTTACTTTTGATTTGTTCTTACTGTATGATGTCAATTCGTACAGATGACTGATAGAGTATGAAATAAGGTTTGTACGAGATCATACCAAATAAATAGGTTTAGTTTTGAATTGTTCGTACAATACGATGTTCATTCGTATAGACGACTGATAGAGTACAAAATAAGGTTCATATAGGATCGTACCAAGATTTTTAAACTGTTTGTACAGATGATCTATGATCATACTGTACGATCTGAAGTCGGTTCAATTATAATTTTCAATTTTTTGGATGGTTTTTCTTATGTTTTCTTTATAAGAGTCCTAAAATATAACACTCAAAACCTTTGCTGCAATTTTCTCTTGAGAGTGGCCATTGAGTATGAGTGTTTGGGAGCAATTGTGAGAGTGAAGTGTGAGAGTTCAAGTGAGGGGGAGTCGTAAAAAATTCACATGGTTTCCCAAAGCGAGGATCTCTTTTCTTCTTCAAATTTATGCCCATCTTTTCTGGAGACTTTTGAGAAAAGATCTTTAACATTGTGTCGAGGCACTCTGCCTTTACCATAAAAGTGAAAAATGATGAAGGTTCTTTGCTGTCACCAAGAGGGTGAGAAATGATGATGGTTCTCTACCTTCACTAAGATGGTGAAAAAGGACGTCGATACTCTGCCGCACCGAGTTAGTGGAAGATAATTTGTATGGGCTTCTCTGCCTTGCTGTTTGGGCAAAAGAAGAGTCACTTTGATTTAGTGCAATACCTGGAGGAGTCTCCAAGGAGTGGATGTAGGTTTAGTTTGGATCGAACTACTTTGAATTTGGTGTTCTTCTATCCACTTTAATTTTTTTATATATTTTTTTAAACTTTTTCGCACATTAAAATTTTTTGGTTTAAAAATATTTTGTGATAATCATTTTATTTCACAATTGCTTATTTTTGGATCATTACTTAAACTTTCTAAAAATAATTTTTGACAATCTAAGAAATTTTTAAAATTATCAATTCATCCCTCATCTTGGTTAGCCTTGGGACAGTTCAATAAGGTCTAACAACCTACTCGAACTTTTAGGAATACATCAATGGAAAGACACCATTTTCCCATCATTTTACCTCCAGAATTTTGCCAAAAATTCAGCTCGAAAAGTTTTCGGTAGAAAAACTTTGCAATTTTACAATTTCCCGACACTCAAATTACCATCAGAGCATTTTTTTGGCAAAAATTCATCGGAAAAGGGAATTTTTAACGGATTTGATCCACTAGTAACAGAGCATTTTCCTGTAGTGTCTCTTCTTCTACTATGTGGTGTTTTCCCACTACAAAGACGATCAACCACTTCACCGAATGTTTCTCCTACTCTTTTCCTTCCCATTACTCAAAAGAATAGAAAACCATTTATATGTACTCAAACAAACTGACTCAGGTGCTATGCTGCTTAACATGGTGGTATCACAACCTTGCAATGATGAACTAGCTCCATGGCTTTGCTGATTTTACTCTGTTGCGGCATTGGGCTGAGTCAATGAACATTTTTCCAATATGCCGCTCATAAATGCCGTGTTGTGGTGGTCATACACATCATCTAGTGCTTCAACTCTCTGAAAAAGGTCTAAACTCGGCAATGAATTATTTGCAAAAATGACAAGACAGTTTAGTTGGACGACATTCGCTCTGTGACGCTAAGGCTTCAGTAGTGCTATAGTGCTAGCTATATTTTCACCGAGGTGCTAAATTAATTTTAAATTTATCAAGACTTGAGCTTTGCAATGTCTAATTTTTGCTTCGTGGCATTATAAGGCGATGCGACATTGGTGTTTGGGACGTTGCAACGATGGTTCTATCTATGCAAATTTTTTACTTTATTCCTTAGTCATTCTTGCATAATATCAATTAAAACATACATTTTTACTGGAATTTTACACAACAAAAATAAACATAATTTCACTGAATTTTATGCCCCTCCCCTAGCCAATATCACTCGCATACTCATTTGGAGCCTCTACTCGCTGACACTGTGCTTACTCAAAGAGAGCTAACCTAGACTACTAATTTCTCCCTACTCCAACCTATCAACAGGCGATGCATGTCTAGATTAGCAGGTTGTATTGTGTTGATATTATATGTAGCTTGTAAATTTTTATTTTTTTTATTTGCATATAGTCTTTTCTGTATCTTTTAGAATCATATAAATAAAGAATGATGAAGAATAGTTGAGAAACCTAAATTTTTTCTAATAGTGAATATTCTACTAATTTGAGATCTATAATTATTTTTCCTCTGCTCACTACTCCCTCTTTTTCTCTCTTTCTGCATTCCTAGCTCATCAAAATAATCTGCTATTAAACTTGGGTATGGTTTATAAATAAATGCATGTTCAACAACATTTTTCATGAAATTCTAATTGTCTCTATATTTTGAATAATTATAATGAATTATTTTTGTGAATATGATTAAAATTTGATCCAAATTTTGATCTGAATAGGGAGTCGTCTGAAATCGGATCAGGTCATCTGGTCGGGTCAAAGGTAGCCAATTGCAATTAAAACTTGATGACTTATACAAAATTAAAGGACGGACTCTCTCGAACCGCAGGACAGAGAACTCTACAGCGTACTCCTTACTCCTTCACCCGGAGTCGTAGGACTCCGTAGTGTAGCAGACAGAATTCGTCTTCCCCCCGCCTCTGCTTCTTTCATTTCTATTTCTCTCACCTGCTTTCATTTGATCCGAGGGAATCCGAGAAGAACTTCGAGGCTGGGGAAGTGGAGAGCTCCGACGAAGATGATGATGAATGGCAGACATGGCGGCGGAACTATTGTAGCGGCTTCCGCGGTCGTCGGTGGCGTGGTAGCTGCTGTAGGCGGCGGGAAGAACATTGAGGAAGAGCTCTCGCTTCCGATCCTTCTCGCTGAGCGCGTGCGCAAGGCAGCGACCGAGGCCGAGTCCTTCAAGACGGAGTGTGCCGAGGTAGGGAAGCAAGTGGATCAGCTCGCAACGATGCTCCGCTCGGCCGTCCGCCGCGCCACGGCCTCTCCTTCTGTATACGATCGCCCTGTCCGCCGCATCGTCGCCGAGGCCGCCAAAACCCTAGAGCGTGCTCTTGCCCTCGTTCGCCGCTGCAAACGCGCCGGCGTCCTCCGCCGTGTCGTCACCATCACAACCGGTTCGACGGATTTCCGCAAGATTGTTCCCCTTCTTGACGCCTCCATCGGTGACCTACGCTGGCTCCTCTCCGTCTACTCCGACGACGCCGCCGGTGGCGGCATCGTCCTCAGCCTTCCGCCTATTGCGAGCACTGACCCCATCCTCTCCTGGGTCTGGAGCTACATCGTCACCGTGCAGATGGCCTCCTCAACTTCCGACCGCGTCGAGGCTGCCCACACCCTCGCCAATCTTGCTCTAGACAACAATCGCAACAAGAAGATCATCATTGAGGAGGGTGGCGTGCCCCCGCTTCTTTCACTCCTCCGCGACGGGCCATCTGTCGATGCCCAGGTCGCCGCCGCCGCCGCCCTTTCCAACCTCGCTACCGACCCTGACCACGTTGCCCTCATCATCAAGGAGCTTGCCGTTCCCATAATCGTCCACGTCCTCTCAGATTCTCCCATGCGCCTCCAGACCCGCGTCGCTTCCCTAGTCTCCCGTATGGCTTACCATCTTCCGGTGATCGCGCAGGAAGAATTCGCCCGCGAGAACGCCGTTCGCCCTCTTGTCTCCCTCCTCTCCTTCGAAGTTCCTCTGGACGAGCCCAGACCCTCTGCGAGCATCCACTCTCTCGTCCAGGGCATGGCGAATCTTCAGTATCTGAATTCTGCGGTCATTGCTACCAGCGGTAGCGGCGGAAGTGGAAGCAGCCGAGGAAAAAATTCCCGTGATTACTACAATCACAACCGCAAGGAGAGGGAGAGCGAGAGCTCCGAGGTGAAGCAAGCTTTAAAGATTGCTTGTGCGGAAGCCCTGTGGAAGCTCTCCAGTGGAAGCGTCTCGAACAGCCGCAAGATCACCGAAACAAAGGGCCTTCTTTGCCTCTCCAAACTCATCGAGCGGGAAAGGGGTGAGCTTCAGCACAATTGCCTCATGACTGTCATGGAAATCGCTGTGGCTGCGGAGTCCGACGCTGACCTCCGCCGTTCTGCCTTCAAGACCAAATATCCCGCTGCGAAGTCTGTGGTCGATCAGCTTCTGAAAGTTGCTCAGCAAGGAAGTAGCCCGGCACTTGAGATTGCGGCCATCAAGGCCATTGGCTCGCTAGCAAGAGCTTTTTCAGCTAGTGAGACCCGGGTTTTGCAGCCCCTTGTTCTCCAGCTCGGGCACTGGAATCCGGATGTTGCTGCCGAGGCTGCGACTGCATTGAGAAAGTTTTCCTGCCCCGAGAATTACAACAGTGTTCACAATTCGAAGGCAATCATTGAGTTTGCTGGCGTGCCACAATTGATGAGATTGCTTCGCACAGGGGAGAAGACGCAGTTGCCTGGGCTTATACTGCTCTGCTATCTTGCTCTGCATGCTGCGGGCAGTGATGCTCTGGAGAGGGTAAAGGCTCTAGGTGCTCTAGAATCCGTTTCACGAACTGCAATTGCACAGCATCCCAGCATCAAGGATCTACTACCTAAGGCAATTTATCATCTTGAGTTGTATCGTGTAGGTTCACATATTCATAGGGATCAATATCCGATGTAAATTCTTCTTCTGATTATTGATTGCATTTTGGCATGTTACTTGGGCTTGTTGAGCTGGTCTAATTTGTCCTGCCCTTTGGTTGAGATTTCTTTTCAATAAGTTTCAAATCCGTGATACTAAAAGGAGGGCATGAAGTAGGGCAGTTTCAATAAGACAGTACTGAGCAACATCCATTGAACATGGGATGCTTAGCGCTAGGTAGCTTACTTGAGTTAGGATGCCGGTTTTGTTTACTGAAGTTAGACAAGCTCATGCTGCCATATGCTGTTCCTATCCTTGCAGCTAAAAAAGTCCCATTAGTTTGTACAGTAAAGCAACTTTGCTCTTTAAAATTATTATTGAGAGTTTGATTTTTATACTTCCCGTTACATATATTTGCATTGCAAAAGTTGTTTCTTGTGATAAAACCCAGTTGTATTTTGCATCTTGCAAGTTTACGGTCTTTATTTGATTTGCCTGTCATTTGATCTACACTTTTTCTTTTTTTTCTTTTTTTTTTTGAGAACATGCTGTATTGCTGAAATTTATGGAAACTTTGTTTGAACGTTGTAAAGTATAATTAGAAATATTATATTGTCGTGATCAACTTTTTTGTGATCTAATTGCTGTGAAGCATTTCATGAGATCGAATTTCTACAACTCAGGCAAACTTGACATTCTTTTGATTTCACCTAAATAACCTAGCATTATTATTGTTCCTTCAGAGTGTTTTTTTACCTCATATTCATTGTCATCACTATAAAAGTCTTTTCCACTTCGATTGTGAATCAAATTTATGGCTAAATTTCGTTCTGTAGGAAGTTGGCCCGCATTTACATTTTTCTTTTTCTTACTAAACGAAGCATCAAACATATTAGTATTGATCATAATCAAAGAACTATTGCGGATTTTTGTATGGCGAACTTTCTATGTGATTTTGAAGGACTTTTTCCGATCATGTCTCATCGTTGTAGTATATGGTTTGTCTTATGTTTATTTCACGTGATATTTATACTGTCCTTTTTTTGTTGAAAACCTACGTGTCAAATACAAAAAAGGATTATAAGTCCTTAATGAATCATCAACTCTCTAAAAATATAACATTTAAAGTAAAACATATGAGTCTATAATTCAATTTATTATGATAATAAAATTTAAAAAAAAAATAAAAAAAAGAGAGCAACAAAACAAACAATCCACCTAGAAGGCCCAAGGGCCATCCAATAGAGCAAGCACAAAAGAAAGGCAAAGCAACATGACAGCATCAATCCGCCCCAAACAACAGAAGCAACAAAAGGCCACAATAACCTGCAAAAAAATAAAAAATAAATAACCAACAATATTCAAATAATAAGAATGAAAAGAAAACAACAACCTCCAATGAACCATCAAAAACAAAGGATAACGACCCACAACTAACCACAACACATAATCGGCCCTAGCCAAAAAACCAACAAGGCAACAATCACCCAACCACCAAAGAGAGACGAGCACAGCAGGAAAGACCAAATGGCTCAAACATGCAGGAAACAAAAGTCAGAAAAGTCAAACCCACGAAGGCGAGGTTTTTATTTGTTCTCCTTTTTTCCTCTCAAATTTTCTAGAAAAACCCTTAGCAATCACCTGAACCACATTTAAATTACAATCATCATTCAGATAATTAGATAAATTACCATGAGTTCCCTCACAGCCCTATTATTAGCTAGATTGCAAATAAAATCCAATTCGCAAGGACATAAGGACTCTCAACCAAGCAATCACCACCGCACAAAGCAGTAGCATCAACTTTAGAACTAGGAATAGAAGGTATGCCAATTATTTGAGCTTTATCAGAAACCACCAATCCATTATGATCGCCCGAAGTGACATTGACAGAAATAGGAGAAGGAGCATTCCTAACAAGCCTCATATCCACATCAATAGTGAAGTCATTCGTAGTATCATGCTTAGACCAAAAAACAAAAGCTAATTGATTGCTAGGATTACAAGAAAGAATATTAAGCAAAGCATTATCAGCCATAAGAATGTTAACACCCTCACTAACCATAAGGGTGATAGCTGGTAAAATGATATTTAAAAATTCTTAACCACAACACTCACGTTATCCACATCATTAACAATATCAATACAAGTATCCACATTAATCACCAAGTCACTAACCAGCATAACAGGAGTCAAATTAGTGAATTCTATATTATCGAAAGTTTTCATAACACCAAAACAATCCCATCAGAGCTAACAAGATTAACTTTATTGGAAGTAACAATCACTGGCACAGAGGAAGATTGGGGGCGACAATCACCCTTAGAATGCCCAATAAATGTACAGGAAACACAAAAAGAGGAAATTCCTCAATCTTGATAAGTTGACATACCCAAACTTTTCAGAGCCAAGCCACACTCTATCAGGAATGTTTTCGGCGATGTCAAGCTCAACCAAAACATGTGCAGCAGATGGGCGAGAGCCAATAGCGGTAGCATTGTCGACTTTTAACAGACGATCAAACAACGATCTTAGACTGTGAAGAATACGAGAGGAGTAGAGATGTGGCTGCAAGTTTGGGAATGAAATTCAAATGGGTAATAGGAGATTCCACACAAACCATACTTAGCTTTTTTGTCAGTTATTAGGGGCTATGTCACTCTCTTTTTGTCAGAGCAAATGGCCGAGCATTATAAATATTGTTTAATAATGCTAAATTGAATAAGTTAAGTCAATGAAAATTACCTGCTATTTTTTCCTTCTCGTTTCGCGTGGTTGGCTCTTTTCTCTTCACTGGCCGGATAACAGGAATGTAGGATGAGTACCGAATATGCCTAATTGGTGAGGCACTTTTTAATCTTTCCGCTGCATTCAACATCAATTGCTGATGTGCTTTACCTCAAATCCCACTGAGTTATACGTACCTATTATTTCTATTGTCTTTTCACTTATCTCTTTGCCATATATCCATGCATTCTACATTGCGCCTTGGCATGCTCGTTTGCTTGGGACTCTTGATTTTCACTGTGAATGTAAACCTGGTTTTTGCTATATTGCGTTGTGATGCCCAACTTTGGCTGCAAGTAATTTTCATATCACACTCGTTCAATGTCTTATTTAGTGATGACAATAATACTTCTTCTCCTTCACTTTTTTTCTCCTTCTGTTTATTATTTTGTCGTTTTGTCTTCCAGCATGTAAGCATTAATGGGTGCGACTATTTGATTTGTTGCAAAGAGGGTGTAAAGTATTTTAAATGCAGGATTTTAAAAATATTGACATTTGGTTTGAAGTAAAAGGAATGTAGAGTAAAATTTTAGTGCATTTGGAATACACCAGCTAGTTCATATTTAGCATACGTATGTTTTGTTGTAATATTGACATTTCTATTTGGACGTTAAGGATGCATTTGTATGTTATCATAAAGTTGTGTAGTTTTCCAAGTACAAGAAGTGAAGAACATAAAGCAACTTTTGGAATATGTTGATGATTAGTAGAAGTGATATTTACACTGACCCATAAGTTGATGGCGGACCCTTGAAGCATCAAGTTGTCTTGAAGCATGATGAACCTCTTCGTAGATAGAACCTTTGTAAATATAATAACAATCTGATTTTGAATTAACATGTGAAGAACAAGAAGTTGATTCTTGTCAATATAATCACGAGCAAAGTGAAAATCAATTTCAATTTCTTTTTTCCTGGTAGGAAATACTGAACTTTTTGTAAGTGCATTGCAAAAATATTATCTTAATATAAAGTTGTAGGAGAATTGATAGGAATTTTGAACTCAAAAAGTTGGTGAATCCAAAGTATGTTTGTTGTGCCAATGGCAAGAGCATGATGCTTGGCTTCTATTAAAGAGTGAGCAATAATAATTTGTTTCTTTACACACCAAAAGATAAGTGTAGAGCCTAAAATGCATAATGTCCAGTAATAGATTTTCAATCAGATGAATCACTCGCCCAATCAGATTCTATGTAAGCAGAAAGAATAAGAGAACTTTTAACAATTTGAAGGCCAAAATGAATAGATCCTTGAAGATAACGTAGTAAATGTTTAAACTGTTGAAAATGAATATGCAAAGGATTATGTATATGCTGACATAAAATATTTATTTAATAAGATGAATCACATTGAGTGCTTGTCAAATATTGCAAGGCTCCAACTAAATGCTTATAAAAAGAAGGATTATCAATTAAAGTGAGAGTTGTTACGAATCTGATTTCAGGAAATTGAATTTTGATGACAGCAAAAACCTCTGTTTCTCTACGACTGCATTACCTACTAACATTTCAGGTCCACAAGATTAAACTGCAATTTGAACCAGCTCATGTTCGGGTAGATTAGGTATGAGTTAGTTTGTAATCTTTTCCTTTTCTTGAGTCAATTATAAACGATGTGGTTCATGATGCTAAGTAACCTTGCACACATAAACTTGTTGGAAATTTTTTGACACTTTTAGAGTTTTCTGTTTTTGCTCACATCATCCAGGACAATCCTAAAATCCGCCTGGACAATCAGTTAAAAATAGAAACCCTAATTAGGGCATCCTGGTTAAGGCAGCCGTTTTTAAGCTCATCATCTTGGACGATATTCTTATCGGTCAGGACGATAGACTCAAACAAGAAAGAATCAGCCACCAAATCTACTTAGGAATCTTTTATTTTTGGACATCATCCAGGACATCATCCTGGACGATGCAATGTAATTATACCTAAATTAATCTGGTAATTAAAGAAAGCAATTAAGGTTTGATTGCTCTATGATATCATCCTAGAAGATCGCAGGATCGGCCAGGACAATCAGTTCAAAAACCTTAGTTGTTCCTGGACGATCAAACATCGGCCAGCTTCTTTTCAGGGTGATGCTCTAGACGATATGCATTGAATTGAACTAATCGTCCGGGATGATCACAAGATCGGCCTGGACGATCAGGTTATTTTTTTATGGTCCAAACATCCATTCATGGTGATGTTCTGGACGATATTCAATAAATTATACTAATCGTATAAGACGATATCCTATCATCCTTGACGATATGAACAAAAACCTTATGATCGTCCCAAATTATCATAGCTGATTGAGATAAATTTGTACTTATCGTATAGGACAATATTTATATCGTTCTAGATGATGAAGTTGGTTTGTTGTAATTAAGAGCTATTCTTAACCTCTTCTATTTAAGACCTCTTGTTCTACCCAAGAGATTATCTTTTGCTGATGTTCTGACTTGAGAGAGCTAAGAGGAGAGGGAGAGTAAGGGAGAGAGAGAGAGAGGATTTTATGAGAGAAAGTTTGTGAGGGGTTTCACAAAGGTTGCTCCAAGTAAGGATTCATCGTCGTCTTCTCTGGTCATCGACCCTAGTTCCTTGGGGGTTCTAGAGAGGTCTACTTC